GTGCTCGCTCAGCACTCTTTGCAAATCAGGTGCTTTTAAAACATTGCAGGCTGAGAATCCAAAAACTGAAGCATCCTAAATGACTAGTCCCTTTCAGAAACCTTCTTTGTAATATTTGAATTGTCACATCTTCCTCTATTAAATCAAAGATTAGGCATAGTTTATCATTTCCTAATTCTTAAGTGTGCCTTTTTCTGGAGGATGGAGAGCAAGAAAACTGTTTTGCAGCAAGAAAAAGGTTTAATTGCTTTGAAAGAGCAAGAACATGTTCTGAAAAGTAAAAATTTTAGACTTAATGTGCATGGAACAAAAGGCCGTTGTGAACTGTGTACAAGAGTTGGTGAGAGTTTGTATTCTGCCCTTTTTTCTGTGGGAGTTATTTCCTGTTGTTGACTAGAGTTCTTTATTTAGAACCACCTAGCTACTGAATGACTGCTAGCTAGCAAAAAATGGTGTGATTAAAACTTTTTAAGTCTTATTTCAAGCAAATTCCTTTACTTCAATTTATTTAAGATGAAGCTTCACTCAATAAAAAGTTCAAAACAACAAATGCATTTTCTTCTCATTATTCCTCCCACTCCAAGAGAGGCAGCAAACAAAAGGCAAATAAAATGTGTTGGGAGTTTTAAAGGGTGTTCACCTGAACATCTTGTGGAAGACAATTTTTTTTTTTAAGCAAATGTGCATTAAAAAAAAATAAAACAACAACAATTGCTAGGTTTCCCTTTTCAATTATAAATAAGCTGTCTGGAACATTAAGGGACCAGCGAGTACCACCTGACATTCTTTGGAGACAGCACTTCGATTGACAGCACAACTACTTAGGGTAGAAATACAGCACTTGCACTTTCTGAATTTCAGTAGGTCAGCTGAGAGATGGCTTCCCTGTGGAGGAGCTGCCATCAAAGAAAGAGGTTTTTGACCACTGACCTGTGTCTGTGTGTCGGCATATGTGCCCACATTGAAATGTAGATTATCAGTACTACAAGGTCTGCACTGTGTCTATCATCACTGTGACCAGAGATGAACATTTGATCTGTAGAAGAGAACAGTGGCAAAATATTTAGGCAAAAGGTCATAGAAAGGGACTTAAAAAGCATAGCTATGTAAAGGATTGACTATGCTGTGGCAAGGAGTTCCACATGCCGCTGAATCCAGGAGTTTTTAGGAGGATTTGTATACAGTATATATCAGACTATGTAGATGTGTGGCTAATTAGAACATCCACTGTTCTGTGGGATAGGACATGGATTGTCTTGCATTGGGGCATTAACTAGGTACTGAGTGACATGGTCCCAGGAAGAAAAGGTCCTGTAGGGCCAAGTTTACTCTATCCATTACCTATAAGCCAACACCTTGCTAAGAAAGAATTGGTCTGTGGTATTCAATTAACAGCACTCCTCCCCCCTCCCCCCCC